CCGCCGTCGGTTTCCTGTGGGGTGGCCTGAACGCCAGGGACTTGTCGGAATTCAGTTTGGTGTGCTCGCGACGTCGTCGACAAAGCCACCAGGTCATCGCGACGGCGCAAAGTAGGAAAACGGCGCCTATACATAGTGCGACTATGGTCGTCGTCGACACTGCAATTACGCGTTACTTTCATTAAATTCCTTTTACTCTATATTGAAAATTTGGTTTATTATTATTATTAATAATAAATTGCAAGGATTCATACGTCATATATACGATTTCCACTTTCTGGAAAATTTTTACTTGTAGAGTCAATAGAAGATTAACTAAGATCCTAGAAAATTAAATGATTAGCTTCGATAGAGTTGACTTATTTGGCTTCTCATATGTGACTCATGTGTATTTTGAATGATGAAACAAGAAGTTAACTTGAAAGAGATATTATTGAATATTATAAATATATATTATAATATAATATATAATATATCAAATATTGTTTGATAGTATTGTTTAATATTAATGTTTTTACCTCAGAATAAAAGAAAATGTATCGTGTATTCAGAATCATGTATGTAGGAGTCATTGCAAGGATATGTTGTCATCAACATCTTAAGAGAGAATTCTTTCTCTCTTTTCATTTAATATTATATTTCTTGCTTCTATTACAATTTATCACTTTCTTCAAACGATTAATTAATTAACTTTACCTTAAACAATGAAATAGTTTAGAGATAAAGACGTATATATTGATCAAAAGAATTTTGAACTTTATAAGAGAGTTAGTTGGTCAGTGCTGACTAATGCCAAGTTCCGGCAATGATGAATCATCTCGGCAATGTGCGCGTTTTACCTTACCACAAACTTCGTAAGCGTTATCAAGTACTTATAAAACAATAAAAGTCTAATAATTGTTCAGAATACAATTTATGTTTTCATCTATCTCAATAATCGTTTCTTCGAGATGAAACATATTGGAAAACATTTAAGCTTAACCATGTATCCATGATGCTATAAATTTATATTCTATCACAAACGGATTGCAATTGAGTTTTACTTTAATGAATTATTGTCGATCGTGAAACATATCAGAAAACACGTCAACACTTGAATATCCATATAATATCATTCATTTTAAATAATAATAAGTCAAATAAGAATAAGAATAAACGTAGAAATCCCATTTAGAAGGGAAACCGATTAAATCTATTTTTAAATTCTAGTTTCAGAAATTTTAATTCAGAATATTGAATTATTTAGAAGCCAAATTTCTAGATGTCAATATCAATAATGTTTAATTATTTAAAAATTAAACTTCACTTTTTCTAACTTTTAGCAGAATCTAATTCAAAAACTGATCAATACTAATTTTTAAACTCAAGTAACAAAATACTAGCGTTTAAATGTTTATGAAATGATTATACATGATCAAGTGCTCAATTTTTCCATAAACGACATTATTAGATGGAGTTGATCCACTTGGCTTCTGCGTGCCTCATACATCACATGGTCTGGCGTCTCGTTATAAAGCCAACCATCCTCCACTATATACATACATCATCTAACTCGTATCTAAATCATTCCTTAAGATTCATCTAAGAATCCAACGAATCCAATTTTGTTGAATCAAAAGAAAAAAAAAAAAAAAAAGAAGAATGAATAGAAACGAATTGAAAAACGATCCCAATCGATCGAAACACCCAGTCACGAAATAACACAGGCATCACGATGTAACAGCTGTCCGCAATCATGATCCGTATTCCTTCCAACGATAGTTTCATTCAACTAAACGACACCCCCGATTATACCGAGATTACGCCGATAACGGATGGAAATCAACGCGCGATGGTGGAACGAAAGCTAGAATCGTGGACTGGATTGGATCGATGTCAAATGGATCATCATCACGAGGCGTGATTACGGTTACGTCGAAAGTGGAATCGAGCGTGAATTTTCAATTCGGTGGGCCCCTCACCCGAAACTCACCGAAATCGACGGGTCGAATCACAGGTCCGTCTTCCGTCACTCCTCCGACCATGTTCGGCCACGTTTATCCCCCGTCTATTTGGATACGCTTTTATCCGCGTAAGTCACTCGGCCACGACGCACTGAACGAATATTTACGGTGTGCGCGGACCGTTCGTGGTATCCTGAGGCGACCATCGGACGAAATGTTTCGATCAATAATAACGGCCGGAGCTTGCGCGGAATATCCGGGGGCCGCTGGGTATGGAAAAGACGACAACCACGACACCAAGACGGCGACGCCGGGGATAATGCCGTTTCGGTGGTTGCTAGACGAACGAGAGGGTCCCTTCCTGCGGATAACGCGAAGGTTTTCGCGCAGGTGACGATGCACTTCGACGAGGAAGAGGCGGTGAAACTGGCGGTCGAATCGATGGGATATCGATCGGTTGAGCAGGCTGGGTTTTTAGAAACCTTTTTTGCATGGTTAGAGGAGAGACAATTGTTTATGATTAATTTTTCTTATACACGGAGGTGAGAGAGGATGGATTTGAGAAGGTGGAGGGGGAGAGAGGGGGAGGATTAAAGGATTTTTGAAATTCTGCCTATTCTGTCCTATAATCCTGGGATTTTCGAGTCTGGGAGAGTTTAAAGTGACACGGTGAGCGGGATATGGTTGGAAAAGGGGTTGGAACATAGTCGCGATTATAATGTGACTATGTATGATATTATATATATGATTTTGATTTAATCTGATTTTTTTATTTTTATTTTTATTTTTTAGTTTTTCTATCGATAATTATAGTAAAATTTTAGTGCAGAGTATGTATATTTTATTATATTGTTGATATATTTCATTTCGGAATTTATTTTTCTTTTTTTATCGATATAAATTGATGATTTTTAAAGAAATAATAAATAAAGGGATTCTGTCTATATTTATATTTGGGCGTGGGCTATGGTATAATGGATCCTTCTGCATGAAACTGATATATTTATATTAACATTTGCAAATCTTATTGATTTTCAATATGTTTTAAGATATTGATAAAAATATAGTATAATATCAAATAAATTTTGATTAAAAAGTTTTGCATAATAATATTTGTATAATTTAAAAAAAAATATAATATTCAGGAAAGATTGTGTTATTTAAAAATTATTACAATGTTTTAAATTTATTATCTACGTTATTTACGTTATTAGCATGCTTATATTATTTATATTTATTAAATTTAATTTATAATCACCCCTTTTACAGAATGAGATGAGTAAGGGCGAAGAGAAAGGTGAGACTAAAAATTGCAACTTTAATCCACTTCGCTCGAGTTCTGTTTTGAATTATCGATCTACATTACATCTAGCACGCAGAAGATAATTCTTCTATGAGTCATCTATTACCTCGAACCTTCTAATTAAATGAATAAATCAACATTTGCATGATGATACAAATAAGTTATTCACACTTTCTTGTTATTTATTATTTTTATATAGTTATAAATATTTTAAATTTTTTCCAATTTATATCAAGCCAATCTATAATTAATATATTTCTACTTATAACTATAGAAAAATTAAAAATATTATATCTAAACATCTCTTTCTTTTTATGTCAATATTTATTGATTATTAATTTAATTATTATTATTAAATTTAATTATTAATTAAATTTATTCAAATAAATGTCATTTTACTTCGAAATATTGGTAAAGATTATATTGCGTAAGTGTGAAATATATTTAAGAATTGAACCGTAAATTTCTTATTCACTTGGACAAGTTCATATTTTTCTGTTCCCGAAAACATAGCCGATGATGCTCGACGTGAAAATAAATTTTCGTAAAATATCATGTACGTAAACTGCGACATAACGTGTGCACATTGAATGCATTTTTTAAATGAATTGGATCACACGAGTGATAAATAGCTGCTATTATTTTTGAGCTTTTATCGAAATTATTATTAAATCTTTAAGTAGCAAATTTTCGCAAATTTTGTTAAAAAATATATGAAAACATTTTTATTCTAAATATCTTTTTGTCACTTTTATCAATTAATCTTTGAAGATTAAATTAAATTATTTACAATAATTTTATATTTATTAATTGATATCAATTAATATTATATGTGTCCTCAAAAATTTAAGTAAAAGTTAAATTCAAAACAACTATTGTGTAATCGAATTTTAATCAATTTATTAACAGATAAATGGCAATGACCGTTTGTTTAATTATCTCCGTAAAACAGAATAATCTGACCCTACTTTTGAAGATAAGAATTATATCTAACTTCGGAATTACGATCAGCCGTCTTCGTCAGTTGCATCATTGCTATCTTATCCGTTATTTGTCTGTGACGTCATTGAACATGGTCGGCGCACGCGCATTACGAAAATACACTACAATACATGAAAATACTAGGTTTACCTGGTGCATGTTTACCTGTGCTTAACCAATAGGGTCACAGAACGCTATTATGTCATTGATGATAGGAAACATCAAAATTAGTGGACATATTTTAATTATTATATATTTTAAATTTTTTAGATAACTTTTATATGTATTGATAATATCAAGATCGTTATATTCTTATGTCGTCGTTAAATATAGGGTGTTCTGAAAAATGGAAAATGTGAATTTTAAAAATATTATTTGAATGATTTTCATATGATTGTATATAAACATTATTATAGTTTATAGTAAATAAATTTATATTAATGATAAGAATAAAAAGAAAAATAATAAATAATAAATCAAAAGTATATTATAGAATTATTATATTATTATAGAATTATTATGATATTATATATATTATATTGTATTATAAATAATAGATAAATAAAAATTTATAAAAATTATAATCTAGAAATATTCTTTTTATATTATATATTTCTATAAAATTTCATTTTCACTTTATTATGGATATACATAAATAATCTATAATTCTATAGTAATAAATATTTTAAATTCAAAATTATTTTACAATTTTACTTACACTATAATTTTTTTAGATTTTTCTTCACATCTTCCTTTAGAAAAATGCAAACAGTTACTACTATTAATGCATATTTGAAACGACTTATAGAGCCGTTCCACTGCGTCAGTTGGTATCTGCGCAGAAGACAAATATTAAAGTAGCCTATAGTAACGTGGACTCGTAAGCGATCAGACCGGCTTTTACAAGCGGCTCGATATAGCTACGTTGTGTGTAACTATTCGATGTATGGAACAAAAACGAGAGAACAAACGAACGAACGATTGTGCTAAAGTGGCCACATGTACATTTCGAAACGTTATTAGAATAAAATAAATAAAAAAACAAAATCTGCATACGTATCGAGTGTCGTCGAAAGTGTAGCTGTGTCATAACAAACATGGGACTGAAGGATTTTCGAATAATCTACGATAATCATTGGAACACTTATTATCCAGGACAAACAGTAAGCGGAAATATCATTGTCGTACTAGACAGCACAAAGAAGATTCGTGGTATGTTATATTCGAAATCGCATCTTTATCGAATGAATCATATTATGTTATTTTTGGGTGAATAATATTTAATGTATATTAAATATTGTTTTGTGATATTCAAAGATCGAACAGGTGTTTTTAAATGTATGCGATTTTTATACGATTTTTTTAGTGATAATGTTTATGAAAATGCAATTATATGTAGTGAAAATGATGGAAAGATTATGCGAAATTATATGTAAATATAATATATTAGTAGATTTAAAAATATACATATATTATATTAAAAATGAATAAAAAAATATTAAAAAACATTTATAATTCTTTATTTGAAAATAATTTAAATATAATATATTAGAAAAATGAATATTTTTATTTTCACAGAATTATTGCTAAAAGAGATAAGATGACATGAAGATTTTGATATATTTAGAAAAATAAAATTTAAATAACAAAGAAATTAATATGTAAAATAATTTATACTTTTTATAGTTATATAATAATTTCGTTAATCGATATCATTTTTCATTTTTAAAAGTAAAAGTAAAAGGATTTACATCAATATTAGAAATTTATTATCTGAATATTAAAAAATATTTCTCATATTATTAATATATATAAGTTTTATTCTAAATTTTGCTTCAATTTGTAAATTGTAATTGTATTTCATACATATTGTCGAGTTCTTGTCGCCGCATTCCTGTAGATTTTTTTCTTTTTTGTCGCAAGGTGTAGTTTAATTATAGCACTATACACCCGCACAGTAGAAATGGACAGTGACGATCAGCCGTGAAACACTTGTTTTGTCAATTGTATAGCCATTGCATTATTGTTTTTATATTTTTTATTATTTAATTAATGTATTGTTATTGCTATTATTGTTATTAGTAACTATTATTTAATATTTTTCTTATATAATATTCTTTTTTAATATCCTTATAGTTTTACTTTTTACTTATAGCTGTTTATTTTTTATTATTTTATTTTATTACAATTTTGTTCCTTAATCGAGATCTCATGAATTGTTAACTTAATAATGGCAAATTTTACAGAATTATCACAAATATATAACTTTTCTTTAAATTTTATCTTTTGTAAATATCTTTTATAAATTACATTTCATTTTTTTTTTATTTTAGTTTTTTTATTTTTATTTTTACCGGATCACTCACATTTCTGTTTTGAGCGATGCTATTTATATTTTAAATTTATTTCTATAGTTATACAAAAATACTAAACTCTTCTATAAAATTCTTCCGTGATATTCTTGACATTTATTTGACGTTGATATACTGTTCTATTAGCATCGATTTGCTTTAGTTCGCGTTTAATTTTATATTATTATCTCATTGTTAAATGGTAATTTCTGAAATGTGTCAACTCATGTCTGAATTGAACAATGTGAAATGTTATGAATAATCGAAAGTATAAAACTCCTTAATGAATTCATTTATAATTTTAACATTATGATATTAAATCGAGTTAAAATTTTTAAATCATATAACATTATAATTAAAATGCAAAGAAAATGATCATTAATTTTCTTCAAAATAAAATTTCTTCAAAATCGAAATTATTAAAATTAATATAATCGATAAAAAAATATAATATGTATGACAATATTATTTAAAAATTTTATTATTTTTAGGTATAAGCGTGAAAGTAAAAGGTGTGGCGAATACATGTTGGACTACAGATAAGCAAGATATGGATGAGAGAGGACAATATAGAGATGGGACTCAGACAGTCTCTGCCCATGAAGAATACTTCGAGACAAAATATTATCTTGTTGGATCGGCTTCTGGTGAATTTCTAACTTATATTATTTCATTAATTATTTTTATTGAAAGAAATAACAAATTTTTTTTTCAGGTGGTGAAATCGAGATACAAAGCGGGGAGCATAAATTTCCATTTCAATGTGTACTACCGACAAATTTACCTAGCAGTTTCGAATCTGATTTTGGACATGTTCGATATACTGTTAAAGCTACTTTAGATCGTCCTTGGAAGTTTGATCAAGAAGTAAAGAGTCCCTTTACAGTGGTGTCACCTCTTGATCTTAATCAAGAATCGAGAGCTTCGGTATGATTTACAATCAAAATGCTAATTTAGTAAAATTTAGTGAATAAAGCAAAAATAGTAAAATTTTTTAGGAAAAAATAGAAGAAGAAATGAGCAAAACGTTTTGTTGTTTATGTTGCGGAACGCCACCATTAACTGTTAATTATTCATTACCAGTTAGAGGATATGTACCAGGCCAATCAATGCCAATAAAGGTGAACGTTGAAAATCATTCAGGAGTTACTGTAGAAACTATAAAACTCATTCTCTGTAAGGTATATTCGACTCGATAATATTATTAATAATATATGATACATGAAAATATTTTAAAATAACAATGAATCGTAATGGTCTAGATGGTGACTTTTCGTGCTACAACACCGACTACTGATACTAAAACTGAAGAGATTGTGGTAGCAGAAGTTGGCAAAGGACCTATTGAGGGAGGAGGAATTGCAGACTATGAACAAAAACTAGATATTCCTCCATTACCTCCCTCGAATTTGACAAATTGTGGAATTATTGATCTAGAATATAATCTTAAAGTTGTGGCATGTGTCTCAGGATGGTTAGTATATATTTATTATCTGAATAGAAAAAATAAAAAAAAGTTCATTTTTATATAAATAATGATTAAAATATCATTCTTAGCAAAATTTTGTAAATAAAATTAAATTTGAATCAGTTTTTAAAATTATATTTTATGTAATATGAAGCAAGTAAATTAAATCTACTTTATCATTCACTATTTACATCACATCATGACTCATTGTATGTATGACTCTTAAACGAGATTTGTAAAGAATGCTAATGTACTACTTAAATTCTATAGTGGAAAATTGCCCATACAAAACTAATTCTTGTCGGTCGTTAAAGTATTTCGTAATG